ATTCTTTCTAAGCGTGTTTGATGCCACTTGGAGGTTTCTCTGTATCCTCAGGGTCACCTGAATATTGCAAATGGGTGTGGAGCCTTCTTGGCATTGCTAAAAGGATTGTATTGCACTATAAACAGGAGATAAGTGGTGTCCTTAAACTTCTATTTAAAACTTATTTCACTAAGATTTGAAACTTATCCTATGCTGTAAAACCTGAGCTGTGATCAGTTTGTCATTTCTTCCCTCACCCATGGCAGTGGATGATGTCATTGATGTTTTCAAGCAGATGTGAATCTAGAATTGAGAGAATACCGATCCCTGCGAAACCCTGCATTTGGGTTGAGGATTGCTATATTCCAGTCAGACTGATTCCATCCTATCCAAAAATTTAAATCTTCAGGTTGGCAACTAATTGTCTTAAGTCTTTACCACTTCTTCAATTTAGTCAGACCTGGATGGTTGTTAGAGAATGGCTGCTGGACATCAACTGTCTATCTCAGCCCAGTTTAATTATTCCAGATGAAGTCAGATAATTAAATCAATTCATTAAAATCCCTTTGCTAATTCAGATTGATTCAGGACCAGATTCAATATCCTTCCCTCAGCACTTCTATATAGGATATTTAGTTAGGTTCCTAGAGCCAGTCAACCCTGCCCTTGTGCTCAGGGTTCAAGTTCATATCATCCTTCATGTGCTGCTACATTGAGCTTTTTATAACAATACCAGGAGAAGGTTTGTCTTTCCTTTGTTCCCTTTTCCTTCAGATCAGCCTGAGGAAGTTTATCTTGACTTTCTTCTACTTAGATGGAATGGAGCTTCCACTTAAGGAAACTCTATCCCATATAATAGCCAGGTTTTGTATGACAGAGGCAAATGTTTGTAAACAATTGGTTTTAGGCATACATTGTTAATTAATATTTGTATATTATAATAAGTCTTTTCAGTGATCTATGATTCATACCTCAGATTTTAAGAATTTATAGGATGATTTGTGTCAAGGAGGTTAAATTGTTTTGTTGTAAGTTGAATATTTTTATCCTTTTCTAAATTTAGGCACTGTAACAAAGGATAACTGGAAAGTGAGTGAACAAGACTTGAGAGGGAGGAAAATTAGGAAGGTTCAGACTTGATATCTTATTATCGTGTTTCTTACACTTTTGTGTACATGCTGGTTTTGCAAATTATATTTTCACTTGTGCATATCATTACAGTAGAGAGCATCCCTTTATGAGTACAGTGTCCACAATAATATTGTTGTGGCCCGTAGGCGGCCTGTGCAGCTAGTAGCTGATTCAAACAGTGAGGAGGCTGGTGTGCAGCTGGCCCTCGAGTCGGACAATGAGGAGGATGGAGAAAATGTGGTGCCAGAGGCGGGGATTCAGCCAGGGCCTTCAGAACCTCCAGAAGCTCCCTTAAGTGAAGAGGACGAAGAGGAGGAGTGCAGAGCTGCCAAAAGGCAGGAGTGGCTCCTCAGGAGGAGATCTCCTCGAGAGTAAGGCTTGGGGCTAATTGGCCACTCTCTTAGCCTATTTAAGGAGGAACGCCAACTGAAGCAATTTGCAGGGAACAACTTAGTTATTATTATTTTATTATTATTATTTATTAAATTTATATGCCACCCCTCTCCGGAGACTCAGGGCGGCTCACAATACATATAAAAAAAAACATTCTAAAAACATTTAAAAGATTAAAAAACATTAAAAAACTTAGAACGCATTCACACTATTCATAGTCGGATCTCGCCAGATCGCAAAGCGAGATCAACGGCCCCAGGCCTGCCGGAAAAGCCAGGTCTTCACAGCTTTTCGGAAGGCCAGTAGGATGGGGATGGTCTGGACCTCAGGAAGTAACTGGTTCCAGAGAGCTTTGGGCAGCCACAGATAAGGCCCTCCCCTGCGGGCCTGCCAGCTGGCATTGTTTAGCTGATGGGACCTGGAGGAGACCAACTCTGTGGGATCTTACCGGTCGCTGGGAGCTATGCGGTAGAAGGTGGTCTCGAAGATAACCTGGCCCTGAGCCATGTAGGAGACCAATAGGGAGCCAGTGCAGCTCACGGAAAATTGGTGTAATGTGGGTGTATCTAGGTGCACCCACAACAGTTTGCGCGGCTGCATTCTGGACCAGCTGCACTCTCCGAACACTTTTCAAGGGTAGCCCCATGTAAAGCGTGTTGCAATAATCTAACCGTGAGGTGATAAGGGCATGAGTGACTGTGAGGAGCGCCTCCTGATCCAAGTAGGGTCGCCTTGATAGCACAGTGGTCTAAGCACCCTGTTATTAACACAGCTGCCTGCAATTACTGCTGGTTTGAATCTCTCCAAGGCTCAAGGTTGACTCAGCCTTCCATCCTTTCGAAGGTAGGTAAATTGAGGACCCAGTTTGTGGGGGCAATAAGCTGACTTTGTATAAATATACAAAAGTATGAAGGCTATTGCTTAACTCATTGTAAGCCGCCCTGAGTCTCTGGAGAAGGGCGGCATATAAATCAAATTTTTAAAAAAAATGGTGCACCAGGCGAACCTGTGCAAAGGTCCCCCTAGCCACAGCTGTCAGATGTTGCTCTAATCTTAGCTATGAATCTAGGAGGACACTCAAATTGTGAGCCCGTTCTGAGGGGGACAACTTCCACCCCCCCCTCAGAACCAAGGATGGACAAACAACATAGTCTTTAGGAGGCAAAACCCACAGCCATTCGGTCTTGTCTGGGTTAAGTCTGAGCCTGTTGATTCCCATCCAGACCCTCACAGCCTCCAGGCACTGGCACATCACATCCACTGCATCACTGAATTGACGTGGGGTAGAGATATACAGCTGGGTATCATCAGCGTATTGCTGATATCTCATCCCGTATCGTCGGATGATCTCACCCAGCGGCTTCATGTAGATGTTAAATAGGAGGGGAGAGAGGACCGAACCCTGAGGCACCCCACAAATGAGGGGCCTAGGGGTCGACCTCTGTCCTCCCACCAACACCGACTGTGACCGACCAGAGAGATAGGAGGAGAACCACCGTAACATGGTGCCTCCCACTCCCAACTCCCTTAGTCATCCCAGAAGGATACCATGGTCAACGGTATCGAAAGCCGCTGAGAGGTCAAGTAGCACCAAGATGGAGGAATGACCCCCATCTCGGGCTCGCCAGAGATCATCCATCAGTGTGACCAAAGCAGTTTCCATGCTGTAGCCAGGCCTGAAGCCTGACTGAAAAGGGTCCAGATAATCCGTTTCATCCAATGATCACAGGAGCTGAAATGCCACCACTTTCTCTACAACCTTTCCCACAAAGGGTAGGCTGGAGACTGGACAAAAGTTCTTTAATTCTGCTGGATCCAGGGAAGGCTTCTTGAGGAGGGGCCTTACAACTGCTTCCTTTAAGGGCTGCGGGAAGGACCCCTCCCTCAAGGACGCGTTAACTAAAGCCTGGATCCAGCCTCGCGTCATCTCCCTGCTGGCCGAAACCAGCTAGGAGGGGCACGGGTCCAATAAACAGGTGGAGGAACTCATCGCCCCTATAGCTTTGTCCACTTCCTCAGGAGTTACTGGCTGAAACTCCTCCCGCACAATAGGACTAAGACCCGCCCCTCTCATCTCGGTCGGTATTGCCCAATCAGAGTCCAGGTCCATCCAAATCTGGGCGATTTTATCTGACAGAAACTGTACAAATTCCTCAGCTCTACTCTGCAAGGGCTCCTCTGTTCCCCCAATATTAAGGAGGGAGCGAGTTACCCTAAATAGGGCGAATGGGCGAGAATCAGCGGATGCAATAAGAGTGGAAAAATATGAACATTTTGCCGCCCATATCGCCTAACAAAGTCTTAACAAAGGCTCTTAAAAGTGTTCGGTCGGATTCAGATTTACTGGTCCTCCAGCGTCGCTCTAGATGTCTCTTCTGGTGCTTCATCTCCCGGAGCTCCTCAGTAAACCAGGGAGCTTTTCTGGATCCGCTGCCAAGTTCACATACCTTTGTGTCTTGTCTTGCTTATCTTATCAGCTTTCTGTAAATTGCTTCTGGGCATTCTGGGCATTCTGGGCATTCTGCCCACCATAGTAATTTCAGTTATTATTCTTTGAATTCTTGGCAGCTGTTAATGCAATTAATTAACAGCTGTTGTTGTAAAAGACTGGTTTATTCAGTAAACTAAGGTTTGAATGGACTTAGTGTGTGCTGCGATCTTTGGGGTCCGTAGCTGGGAGAGAACTCTCATTTGGTTGGGCTCTCTCTTTCTCCCTCCCTCCCTCTTTCTCTCTCCCTCTCCCTCTATTTCTCTGTGTGTGTTTGTGTGTGTGTTTGTTACAGATCCTACCTGTTGCACTACCTGATAATTTTATTTTATTGTATTCTTTCTATTTGTTTTATGCTGGTGAATAAAATTAATAGAATATATCTGTGGTCTGTCCTCTTAACAAATAGAATGGTTCAGGAAGAGATATATCTCATGCATATTTTCTCTTGCTACATCTTCCATTCTTTTAAGAAGACCCAGCCTATGCTGATAATGAGTCAACAGACAAGAGCATTCTTATTCGAAGTAGTTTCACATGGTATTTAGCTTGGAAAAAAAAACAATCTTAAGAGATTCTTAGGTATCAGTATAGGCTGGGTCTTGCATTTTCCATTGTGGGGTCTTAGTTAATAGTTAATGTTTAACTTTTGTTTTGTTCTACTTCTGCTCAAGCAATCACGTTAGCTGGAAGACCTGAATGGAAAAATAACTTCTTCAATAAATAAACAGATTGGGAAGAATGAGACTGTGTGACGTTAGGGCATAATTTGTGTTTGCAGGGGGAACACCTTCCACACTGAAATGCAGGCAAAGAGATATGACACACAAACAGACAGACACATTCACATAGTCAAATGAATATATTGCTCCCAGATCCCTCTTAAACAGTTGCACAATATCTGCAATGCTCATTTAGTTTTATTTGAAGGAATATTTGCCAAATTTTACTTCAATGCATAAATGTTTTCGAGTTTGATAGATAGCAATTTGATTCATGTAAAGAAAGATAAAGCGATAGCAGGCGGTGATCTCAGGTTGTTAGCCATATCTTGAAGATGTCCAGGGTGGTAGATGGAGATGGCATTATTTTCCATAGTGGCTATACAAATGAGATAAAATAATAGTTTGATCATAATAAGTTTAAGGTAAATTCTGTTATCTGAATCTGAAAATCTCTCCTGCCCTTCTTTTTGCCTTTGAAACACCTGCTCCTCTTCAGGTCAATGCCTTGAAATGCTTTGGAGTACAAAACAAGAGTATCCCAAAGTACATCTATGGCATCTTTATTAGAGGAGTGTTTACTTACGGTCTACAGCATGTCCATCCATGTCTACAGTCCAATCTATGAAGGTCCACAGAGGGGGGTAGACAGACATGAAGGCAGCTTCCTCTTCTACTATAACACACGGGCTGGGCATTACCTATGAAAAGAAAAAGAGTAGGCAGGGGAATGATAAGTAAAAATACTTTGCTATTTAGATAGCTATTTCCTTCTAAATCATCACTTCCTTCTACAGAATTGCAGGATCCCTATGAATTCAGGAAATTCTCTCTGACGAAGGAATCCATTTCTGCTAATCTCCCTTCAGCAGCCCCAATATATCAAATATAAGCACAGGTGTTATGCTTGGCTCGGAGCTGAATTGGCAGGTATCCCTGTATCTATTAAGGTAGAACAGAGGAAAAAATCGGATTCACACAAAAGGAAGACCTTGCTGTGATATCTTTCTCTCCATTATTACTATGGATCCTTGCTTGCTAAGAAATAATCCTGAATTATCATTGCTGGTTCTGTGGGTGTTTTGGATGGAGATGTTGAGTGAGAATGGCTAACTTCCTTTGACCTTCAGGATCTGGTTTACCTTTGGCTTCCTTCCTCTTCTCTTAATGTTTCTAATGCTGCTCTTGGTGGTGTATTTGCAACATTTTGCTGCAATATCTTCTCTTTTTTTCAAATTGAATATCAATAGATTTACTAAATAATTAATATTTATTATTTATTTATTTTTATCTCATCTTTATTTCTTAAAATAACTCAAGGTGGCAAATGTATCCAATATTCCTTCCTCCTCCTATTTCCAGTCATAAGACATGATGAAAACTCTTTAATTTCACAACATATGGAAAGATTTAACCATACTTTCAACTGGGGACCTGTGACTATCCTAAATCAAGCCAAGTCCAAAAACATTAGAGAATTCCTGGAAGCCTGGCACTCTTGACAAATTAGCTATTAATAGATACATATACATAAACAATACGTACTTATTGTGCACTGCACACCAGAACAACTAGACACAAGGACAGTTTTTCCCCGAATGCCATCACTCTGATTAACAATTAATTCCCACAACACTGTCAAATAATTTACTAAGACTGTATTACTATTATTCTTTTCTTCCTTACTAGTATCTCTCTTTCCACTTATTACTATAACCATGTTTCTTGTATCTTTCAATTTATATTGTTTTTAATTTGTTTCCTAGTATGATTTGGTAGCTTAACCTTGACTATCACTAAATGTTGTATCTTTTTATTCTTGATGAATGTATTTTATTCTCCTTATGTACACTGAAAGCATATACACCAAAAACAAATTCCTTGTGTGTCCAATCACACTTGGCCAATAAAGAATTCTATTCTATTCTATTCTATTCTATTCTATTCTATTCTATTCTATCTATTCTATTCTATTCTATCTATCCCTATCCTATCCTATCCTATCCTATCCTATCCTATCCTATCCTATCCTATCCTATCCTATCCACAAGCCAAACAGGGAACAAAAAGATCAAAACATCTTCCCACCAGCAACCAACATCCAGATGATCTTACATCAACGCCAAGCTTAACATCAGACCAACAAACAAGAAGTAAACAATACCCCAATCAAGGAAGTGCCAAAACAGTAAATAAACAGTACAACGAAAAAACTCCCAAGACCTCTCCTACCAAGACTAACAGGGCACACTACGAGAATATAAATTGAGAGCAAATTCCGTTCCTTACCTATCTTACTTAGTTTGGCAATGAAACAACTGTAATAAAAAGGAGAAGCTGAGAGAATACCAAGGACACCTTTTTTTTTTTGCTTTAATTTATATGCCGCCCTTCTCCGGAGACTCAGGGCGGCTTACAATGCGTTAAGCAATAGCGTTCATACTTTTGTATATTTATACAAAGTTAGCTTATTGCCCCCACAATCTGGGTCCTCATTTCACCTATCTTGAAAGGATGGAAGGCTGAGTCAACCTTGAGCCTGGTGAGATTTGAATTTGCAGAAATTGCAAGCAGTAGATGTTAATAACAGTGCTTTAGTCCACTGTACTACAGGCTCTTATTCTCCTATTTTACCACATCAGCCCTGTCAGTTTCTTTGTGCTGAGAAAAGTCCAAACTTACACAGCCAGCTTTCATGCCAAAGGTGGGATTAGTACAGTCTCCTGATTTCTAGCTTGGTGCTTTGACCAATAGACCAAACTGGCTCCTTATTGTCCCTCAAACACTTCATAATGTCTTTTGTTGAGAATTTGATAAACCAAAACTAAAATGAACCAACCAATAACCTACAGTAATAAAACCTTGAGTTAAGCTTTGTAGAGAATAGTAAATAATGAATTGGTTTTCCAGTCCCTCCTTGATGCCGTGTATCTCCCTGGATCTCAAGTTTTAATGCAAAAGAAAAATCAGTGGCGTATTTTTCCAATGTTTGAAGGCTCATGTTGTCAATAGCCCACAGTTTTCAAAGCTATTTCTTTAACATAAACTAAAATAAGATGTTGAGGATTATCCTGCTTTCAGTGATGATCATACTTGCTTAGAAAGTAGTGAGTTATCAGTCATTTCTAAATTATCAATAATTTGGTTTCTTACCTGGTTCAGACAGGAATGCAAGGAAAAGGAATGCGAACAGCAGATAAATGATCTTCATGTTAGGATTGGTTCTCGGACAAATCTTACTCCTGGGATAGGACACAGATCTCTATTTATGCAGGTATAATGATTGCATCACCCTGTGAAACATTGCAACTACTCTTAAATGCTTAAATGTAATTGGCCATGTTGTATTTCCTTCTATTGTAACACTCCTGAGGGTTAACTTGCAAAAGTCCTTGCAAGAGCAAGAGAATTAGTTGAATAGTTAAAAAGTTCTCTTTATAGCTAAAATACTTTGGAATGATAAATATTTGGCTCCATTATTGGGAGGTCTGCAGAGCTGCATAACTAGTTACTTGCAAATGAATTGCTTATCAGGGTAGATTAGTTATGCGTGGTTTTAATGAAATGTAGCTACCATCTAATAATATGCTTACCAAGAAATTAATTCCTCCCCTTCTCTCCCCCCCACTTTCTTCCAAGTAACACCCCCAACCAGTAGTGGGTTCCTCCCGGTTCGGCCTGGTTCGGCTGAGCTGGTAGCGGTGACGATATGACATCACCGAACCGGTACACTCGCTCACCCCAGCCGCCCATTAGCCCCACCCCCCTCCACCCAGTCACTCCTCACTTATATTGTGGGTCCTTGCTTGCAGCTTGCCTGCCTGAAGCATGCACCCCAACTGAGCGGCCCTGATCTGCCTGCCAGGTAAGCCTGCAAATCGCGGCCTACCTAGCTGCCCCTGCCCCCTCCCCCACCATCCCAGCCTGCCTCCCCTACTCCCATTCCCACAGCCCATAGCCCTGCCATGGTTCCCTGCCTTCCACGCGGGCTTCCCAGTGTCCTGGAGACCAGCTTGCAAAGGCAGGCAAACAGGCCTGGCCACGGGGACTGCCGGGAAGGCAGGTATGCATGGCAGGGCCACCCGGCTATGGGGAAGAGAGCTAGCAGCTTATTCCCTTCCCCGAAGCCCTGCCATGCTTGCCTGCCTTCCACGCTGCCTTCCCGACATCCCCATGGCCAGCTTGCCACCCACCCCCACCCGGCTTCCCTTTTACCTTTCTTTAATGTACCCTGCTTCCCTCCCCAAACCTTGGGAGGAGGCGTCCTCCGCGCCACAAAGCCCTCGCAGCAACTGTAGGAGGGGGAAAAGAAAAAAAAACCCTTGGCCTCTGAAGCCTCTCGAAGGCTTCGAAGGTGTGTGTGTGTTTGGCAGCACTGAAGTGAGCCACGTGAAGGGAGCTCGCTGGGTAACCACACCAGCTGCGATCGGCCCCTTGCTGTTGTGGCCTCGCCCTCTGAGCCTGTCCCATCAGAGGAAGAAAGCTCCGAGCATGAGGAAGAGGAATCAGCCAGGCCTCCCTCTCCAGGCCCCTCCCCTCTGGCATTGTCTCAGGTGCCGGCCGAGGGAGAGGAGATCAGTAGGGAGACAGGTGGCTCGGATCAGAGTGACGAAGAAACATCATTCCTGGACGCACGCCTCCGAAGGCGTGATAAACGATTGCAGCAGCTTAGGAGGCGTGCTAGGGACCACACCCCAGAGACTATATAATAGAGGGTGGTGGTCAGGGATCCTTGTGACGAACAAAGCAAACCTTGAATAGTCACTAAAGCCTCGTCTGGAATTGCTGAGAGAAAGATTTCTTGTCGGACATTTGGACTCTTGAGTATTTATCTTTCTGTTTTACTGTGAAAATAAAGGCACTTGGCAGACGGTGTGTCTATCGCTGCCAAGTGGGAGATAAAGAAACTGGGTGCGTTCCAAAGTGTTTCCTTAACCCTCGGCTGGCTGTGTTTGTGTGTGTGTGGGTACGGGAACAGATCACCTTGCCTTCTGCTGCCACCGCTACCTCTGCCTCTTCCTTCTCTCTGCCAACAGAAGTCGGAGAGGAAAAGGCAGTTGCTTTGCTGAGCATTTCTCCGCATTTCCATCGCAAGCCGCCCTCACTGGAAATGCAGACAAACGGCGGCAGCAGAAGGCAAGGGGCCGATCGCGTGGCTCACTTCAGTGCCACCAAACACACACACACACACACTTTCGAAGCCTTCGAGAGGATTCAGAGGCCAAGACTTTTCTTTTCTTTTCCCCCTCCTGCAGCCACATCGAGGGCTTTGTGACGCGGAGGACACCGCCTCCCAAGGTTTGGGGAGGGAAGCGGGACGCATTAAATTTCAAGGAGCACTCCCTGAAATGGTGCAGGAAACTTTGGTTGGGCTCCTCGAGAGATGAGAGCTTGCAGGGGGCCGAGAGAGCAATGGAGAGCAAAATCTGGCTGCTCCCCGAACCAGACGCTGTTTACCGCTCCGAGTCCCATGCGGCAGGAAACGAGGGCTGCCTTGCACCGCAAATATACCAAGGCGGAATCCTGATGCTGCACTTACAGCAGAGAGAAAAAGCTGGATTTTGCTCCCCATTGCAGACACCAGATCGGCCCCCTGCAAGAGAATGAGAGAGAGAGAGTGTGGGGGGAGGGAGGGAGAGAAAGAGAATGAGAGAAAGAGGGGGAGAGAGAGAGAGAGAAAGGGGAGGGAGAAAGAGAGAGAAAGAGGGGGGAGAGAGAGAAGGGGGAGAGAAAGAGAATGAGAGAAAGAGGAGGAGAGAGAGAGAGAAAGAGGAGGAGAGAGAGAGAGAAAGAGGGGGGAGAGAAAAGAAAGAGAAAGAAAAAGAAAGACAAAGAAAGAGGAAGGGAGAGAGAGAAAAGAGAGAGAGAGAAAGAGAGAAAGAAAGCAGGAAGAGAAAGAAAGAGGAAGGAAGAGGGGGGGGAGAGAGAGAGGAGGAAGTAAGGACCACAAACCCTGGCACTAGACATGGCTTCAGAAGATGCATTGAAACAGGACAGCAATCTAGGGCTGGAAGGGACCTTAGAGGCCATCTAGTCCAACCCCCTGCTCCAGCAGGAAACCTTACGTCATCTGGATTATTTTGGTGTCTCTAACAGAGAGGAAAATTGCCAGAAAGGAGAAGGAGTTTACTAGGACAAGGCTGCCAAGCAGAGGAAGGCAGAGCTAGTACTTGACTTATGACCACAATTGAGTCCAAAATTTTGGTTGCTAAGCAAGAGCGTTGTTAAGTGAGTTTCACCACATTTTATTCAATCCATGATTTCTCCTGGCTCTAACAGTCATATGCAGGCTAGGAAAGTAAATCTGAAGGCGTGTGTAATGTTCTAATGTACAGAAGTTATAGTTAAATGTATGGCAGAAAGTGGACTCTGGGTGTGTTTTTCCAAATGTAGTAAGTGAGGTTGAATGTGTATAGTTTTAGAAGAGGGGTGTGTATGTGTGTGTGTACATACACATACAGTATATATAGTAGATAATGTATCTTTTTGTGTGCCTATACACATTATACTATGTAATATATATGTACACATATGGCATATGTACATAGGATTAAATAATATATTTTGGATGTTCAGTAGTAGTAAAAATTGTACAATTGGGAAATTGTATCTTGTTGAGGCCTTTGAGGCGAGGAGAGGCCAGGCATCCTAACCCTAACCTTTGATGTGAATGACATCAAGTTGGCCACACCCACCCAGTCACATGACCACCAAGCCATGCCCACCATCACATGACCACCAAACCACGCCCACCCAGTCACATGACCACCAAGCCACACCCACCAAACAAGCCACACCTACAGAACCGATAGTAAACATTTTTAGAACCCACCCCTGCCCCCAACGAAATCAACCTTTGAGGCTTGAAGTTCCTCAAAGCTAATTTATTTTATTTTATTTATTTTATTTTATTTTATTTTATTTTATTTTATTTTATTTTATTTTATTTTATTTTATTTTATTTTATTTTATTTTATTTTATTTTATTTTATTATTATTTGGATTTATATACCGCCCTTCTCCCGAAGGACTCAGGGTGGTGTACAGCCAAGAGTAAAAACATAGATACAAAATTTAAAAAACAATTTAAAATATATTAAATAAGTTTGGCCCCGATTAGTTAAAAACTCTTATAATAAAACACATTAAAAAATGATTAAAACATACTAGGCCAGCCCGGCTTGCTGGAAAAAGAAGGTTTTGAGGGCACGGTGTAAGGTGCTGAGATCCAGGATTCTTCATATCTCCAGGGGCAACTCGTTCAAGAGGGCAGGTGCCCCCACAGAGAAGGCTCTTCCCTGGGGGCCGCCAGTCGACATTTTTTGGCCGACAGCACCCTGAGGAGCCCCTCTCTGTGGGAGCGTACTTGCCGATGGGGCGCTACCGGTGGCAGAAGGCAGTCTCGAAGATATCAAGGTCCTAAGCCATGGAGCGCTTTAAAAGTGGTAATCAATACCTTGAAGCGCACCCGGAAGACCACTGGAAGCCAGTGCAGCTCGCGCAGGAGAGGTGTTACATGGGAGCGCCATGATGTTCCCATAACTACCTGCGCGGCTGCATTCTGGACCAGTTGGAGCCTCCGGGTGCTCTTCAAGGGTAGCCCCATGTAGAGAGCATTACAGTAGTCCAGGCGGGAGGTGACAAGGGCATGAGTGACTGTGCATAAGGAGTCCCGATCTAGAAAGGGCTGCAACTGGTGGTATCAGGCAAACCTGATAGAAAGTCCCCCTGGCCACAGCCATCAGATGTTCTTCCAAGGACAACTGTGCATCCAGGAGGACGCCCAGATTGCGAGCCCTCTCCATGGGGGCCAATGACTCACCCCCAATAGTCAGTGATGGCATCAACTGACTATATCGGGATGCTGGAAACCACAGACACTCGGTCTTGGATGGGTTGAGCCTGAGTCTGTTTCTGTTTCTTTAATTAGAGATGTTATATTGGCACATCTGGGAAAACCCGAATCTGAAAGCTTCCAGGTTTCCCCCACACAAAAGAAAGTTCAAGACCTTGCCCCTCACCCACATGTCCACCACACTGGACATCAAGTACCCTCCGGAACAGAAGATTCTGTTCCGGAGGGTACTTCTGTTCCGGAGGGTACTTACCTCATTCTTCTCAGCACAGCTGCAGGGCACAATGGCCTTGACTTTCTATAAAGAATTTCATTTTGATTACATATCCTCTTTACTCTGTATAATTCTCCCTTCCATTTTTCCACAGTAGAATTTGTGGCA